CCACCTCAGCGCTGGTGAATGTTCGCTTCTTTGGCAAACACGATCGAGCTTTTGTGCCCGTTAAAGACTGCTTTCTGTACTCGGCTCAGAATCCGAACACACAAACCAGCAGGAGATCGGCAAGGGATTTGGCTGAATGTATTCGGGAGGTGGAGGTCCACATCGAGCACATTAAGCGGAAGATTGGCGCCTTCAATTACGCCGCCTACCGCACCGCCTTCGATCCGCTGGAGGAGCAAAGGCAGCTGGAACAGATGATGCCCGGCGTGTACGCGGCAATCGATCGGGAACTTGAGCCAGCCAACAAAACGCCGCTGCAGTTTCTTATCCGCAAGACGGCGGGCGATAAGCTGTCCATAGTAAAGAAGACCAAGACCACGGAGTCGGGTAACGAGTCAGATCAGTCGCCCAGCCCCTCGAAAAAGCTTCCGGAGGCGGACAATGATACCGGAGTATGCTCGGGATCCAGCGAGCATTCAAAACTCAAGAGTAATAACTATGAGGTTATATCCAGATCAGGCGAATCTCTGACCGACTCTCGATGCAAAGTGCTGCTCAAACGGAAATCTCTGGCTGCTAAGACAGTTTTGGAGATTGTGGAAGCTCCGGCGGATGCGGTAGCCCCCAAACGAAAACATTCTCTGAGTGATGCCAGTTTTACCAGCGAAACCAGCGACCACAAACGGAAGTCAAAGCATGCCAGGAAACTACAAGATCAGGATAAGCCAATTGGAGGGCAAGAAAATACGGTAAATGAACTGTCCGAATCTTCGAAAATTTCGGCACAGGAAGAGAAATCACAAAAAGCAGATGCAGCCATAGAATCTTCTGCAAAAGAAACTGCTAACACTTTCACAGGAGCTTCATCTGCCTCTGTTGTTTCTGTTGTGGAATTGGTAAAGCGTCGCCAGGGCGTTACCATCACCAAAATACCACGCGAGCAGCAACAGACGGCAGTGTCAGAAAACCTGGCTGTGGTCGCTGTACCTGCTCCAACTGCTCCCCCTCCAACTGCTTCCCCTCCAACTGCCCCCCCTCCAACAGCTACACCTCCTCCACCTCCGACATCGGTAACCAAGAAAATTACACCAAAACGAACAGAAACAACGAACCCAAAACAATCCGAGGTTGAGAAACAGCAGCAGCAGCTGATCAAGAAAGTTATTCCATTTATAGAAATAAAAACGGAAGTCATGTCGGAACCCGAAGACATGGAAATGGAGTTTATGCTTTCGGCTACACAACCTCCAACTGAGCAACTCCCTTTGCAACTGGAGTCGAATGAGAGTATAAGAATCCAGCAGGAACACGCCGCTGAGCCCACTCCCCCGCCAGTGGAACATCCACCTCCTGAGTTAGTCAAAATCAAGCAGGAGATTCTTAGTGAGGATGAAATGGAAACAGATCAGAATCAGACCAATGTTAGTCAGAGATTTGAAGCAATGCCTCCCATGCCCCTGCCTATGCCCCCGCCTCCGCCCTTGCCACTACGAGACGAAACACCCGCCACAAATGACCTGGTTCGATTTGTGGGCGATACCACCATCCAGAGGGTGAGCCAGAAACAGTTAGTCAAGTCAACGGACACAGCCGGAAAACGAAAGGCCGTGCAACATAATGTCCCGCCAGCTGCCGCCTTCGCAACGCCCTCTCCTGCTCACTCGCCAGTCCAGGCATCCGCCCCTTCACCTTCGGCATCACCAAAGCCAACTATCCCGTTTGCGGGCAGCAAGCCACCATCACAGGGGAATCCATTAAAGGGAAAGTCACCTTCACAACAGTCATCCCGGGCTAAAGCCGACCGCGCGCCTAATCCATCCTCCCCACCAGGAACTGCACCTGCCCCTGCCACCAGCACCACGTCGTCTTTGCTTCGATCCAACATGGTGGTGATTCCAGTGGAGCAGGCAGGCATCTGCAATCCGCACAGTCCCATGACGATCCCGGTGCCACCCTTGAGAGCCGTTTCCAAAAGCACGCTACAAAATACTTCAACGCTACCAACGCCCTCTTCCGTTGCGTTTACTTCTCAACCCGTTAGCTCCGTGTCTGCGCCACCGCCGTTGGCTGGCTTGAGTATTCCTCAAATGGCCAACGCCGCATCACAAGAACTACCGGCAAACAGTGGAGAGCCGGTTGGTCTGCTGGCCACCGCTTTGAACGGATTGACGAGCGAATCTATCCCCAGTGAGTCCATGCCCAATGATCCCATAACTCCGGGCTTGGCCACGTCTTTGAGTGAGTTGCTGCTGCGTTCCGGTGCACCAAAGTTGGTGGCTCGTCCCTGCGGGCCACTCCGGTCAGATGGTTCCCAGATCTATCCCTCTCAAGCTGGGCCCGTCTCGCAAAAACTAAAGGAGAATGCTCACAAGGTATGTTTGGTCGTGAAAACTCTTTTATACTAGCTAATAATACCGGCATTTCCACCTGCAGATCACGGACTACTTCATCTCCGTCATAGAAGACACGCTCAGCGACATGGCCACTGGAGACCAAAGCGTCCTGCAGGCCCGAATCGCCGGTCTGACACTAGAAAACGAGCGACTGAAGCAGCACTACGACCGCCAGATGAGCGACCTGCAGCGCACTAGCGAACTCATGATCACCGAAATGCGCAAGACACTAGAGCAGGAGCACAAGCGCGTGATCAGCGATCTGCGTCAGCAAAACGCCCTTGAGCGGATGAGGGCGGTGGACGAGGCGAAGAAGAAGCAGTGGTGCGCAAATTGCATGCGAGAGGCACAACTGTACTGCTGTTGGAACACCTCTTACTGCGATTATCCCTGCCAGCAGATGCACTGGCCCAGACACTCGGCCACCTGTGGTCAGGCTGTCCAGGTGCCGCTGGCCACTCCAGTTCCTCCTGCAGCCTGTGGCCCGCTAATTGATCCTGGCCGATCCAAATCCAAGGCAGCGATGCCAACAGCAGCACCACCAACACCCAGCCCCAGTCCCAGCTCGCAAATAATTCGAACGGCGTCCGCCTGTCCACCTGCTGCACCTGTTGCCAGCGTAACAAGCTCCAAAAAGTGGCCGCCCATGATGACATTAATAAATCAACCGAATCCGGAGGCAGTGCTGAAGCTACCCGCCACCACATATCTGCGGCCAGTGGTCAGCACGACGATGACAGCTACGGTCACGGCTGCACCACCTGTGAATAACAACAGCAACAGCATGAACGTAATAATGACCGCCGCACCATCGACGGGAAACCAAATGGCCAATCTCATGCCCGCCCATCGGAATCTCCCTAGCTTCAACCCCAAACCCGCCAGCCAGACGATGCCCGTGCAGCGCTTTAATATACCCGTAAGTTATTTGAAATGAAATACAAAATGCAATTACCTAACTTGCTTTTAATTTTATACGCTTATTAGTTACCCATCACCGTGAATACAAACGCGGCCTTTCTAATCTCCGAGCAGCATCAGAAGCAGGTACCAAAGGCATCTGTTCGCAATTCTGGTAAAAACAACAGCCGAATGCGCCAAAATTACAGCAGCAATACCAGCAACAGCAATCCGCAGGGTTTGCGCCAGAATCAAATGAATCCAGTGTTCCACCCGTAAAGAAAGACTGCCTGTAATTCAGGGTATAGTTTGTTTGATATTCCGGAGAAACTCAGAAACAGATTAATTGAATTGTCCGATCACTGATCAGCAACTTGAACTTTTCATATTTAACTTAATTCCCTCGAGCGCAGCTATTAACGGTGATTTGCTTTAAAAGTAAGAGACCCACAAATTAAATGCCGCTGAAAGACGAAAGTGTAAAGTAACAATACCATTTTATAATTAGGTTAAGGATATAGAATATGATGTATGTTATTGTAGTTTCGTTGGTTTTACTGTAACTTAACGGCCTAGTAAGTAAGAACGACTGTGCAGCCATGAGATGGACTTTTGCTTGAATGTAGCGACTAGCAGTCTATAAGGTCATCCCACTTCTCATCTAAAGCATTCTGTAAATTGTTTCTATCATATATTTTACATACATGTTATGTATATTTAAATAAATAAACATAATTTTAATACGTAGCGGTCTATCCATCTAGTACTGTTTCAAACTTTTAAGCAACGCTTGCTTACAGATGTGCGCGTGCCTATTTTTTTTCACCCGACCTGTATAAATTTAACCAAATATCGTGCTTGTGGCAAATTCGTGACACGAACAAGCGGTTTGTCCATCTCTAGTGACAAATTAGTTCCAAACTAACGGATGTCTTCCCTGGGGAGTGGCTTCCTGGCAGCCATCATTAAATGAAACAGCTGTCCGCTGAACACTTGCTTAAAGCTCTGTTTTCTTACTGAGCTTTCTGTTCGCCTGGTACTTCAAAATCACAAATTGACGAGTTTCCATGGAAAAATGTTTTTTATCGGTCCAGTTGGACGGGCAAAATTTTAGATTTCTCGGTTTGAAGCACCAGGCGAACATAAAGCGTAGTAGGTGTTCGAATATCAGTTTGTGTTGAGCAGAGGAGTAGCCAGAATTCGGACAAGGGGGGTTCAAATCGCTTGTTGGGGGCGTTTGGCCCCAAAACTCCTGTGTATGCTGGCTACGCCTCTGTTTACTGGTACAAAAGTAACGGTTGTTTTAAGCAACCGGGAAGATGTGTTACTATTGGTCGACCAATGGGAGGGCTCCGCGAAATAAATTCCCAGTACCCAGCAGTCATCTCCTTCGATTTCTGTTGGCCTGGTGTCAAAAACCGAAAAATTGGCTTACTCGTGTCACTTTTGTCGGCAATTTGGAAGATTTTTCGAGCTTAAGTACCAGGAGAACAGAAAGATCAGTATGCTGCTGCGCAGTTTGAACTTCCAGCTGCGCCCAAATGCATGCAATAGAAACCTTAAGTTTTTCCTCACGCAGACACGCTGCCCATAAGTATGCAACAATTTTCTTCAAGAGATTACTGACCGACTGCCCAAAAGTATGCACCACTTTCAAAACGAAATGAAAGATGCTAAAACCCAGCCAGTCAGACCTTGTCGCATGAGTTTTATAAAGAAATCTTTAATTATTCAATCAAACACCTGTGAAATAAAAAATAGTTTATCCAACTGGTCGGCTTAATCAATGTCCAACTTCTTAAAGTTTCCCTCAATGCCGAAAAGATCTGACGCATTTTTAGCCTTGCCGGGTCGGAGTTTCTCGTTGACCTGATGCCGCGTCTCAAACTCTAGAAATTCTTTTCGATTATCCAGCAACTTTTTGTAGTATACTTCTGCGAAATAAGTTTAAATTATTTTATTTAAATGATTTAATACGAAATAGGACCTTGACTCACCCTTGGCTAAGCTTGTCTCCTCTAATTGACCTTCGTATTCCTTGGGAAGCATTTCCTTGGGCACAAACTTGTAAAATTGATTCAAGTCGCTGTGCATGTGCAGTACAGTGGTCAGCTCTTTTTTCATAAACGGAGTCATCAGAGCCAGAATCTTGTCCATGAAAGGTACAATATTAATGAAATGAAAGCCTATTAGCCTGATGGCTGCCGCTTCCTAAAACAATAAAGTTGGGATTATCCTTTTTGAAATAAAACTTTAGTTTACTTACCTGCAAATAAAATAGAAACTTTTTCATTTGTAGAAGGCCTATGCGTGCCACGTGGCCCAATGAAGTGCCTTTCAAATCGATCACGATCAAATGCCCCGGTTGAATGCCATCTTCATACATCCAAAAATCGAATACCATACAGTATCTGGGAGAAAGAGAACAAGATCATTTAAAAATCTTTTTGCAGGAATAAATATATTATTATTTTATTATTAGTATTTTAATCTTATTCTTTAAAAGTCAAAAAAGGTAATATTCTATTTTTTCCTGAGTGCATTTCCTTGCCTGTTAAGCTGCTTGATTGTAAACTCTTAATTGACTGTCATTATACAGCAAATAACAATAATCTTTATAAACATACAGTGGTTGATGATCTGTAAGTACCTAAAGATTAAGGAAAAGTATCTCAGTATCTTAGCGAAATGAGCCGTGCGTGCAATTGGATGCATTTTAGTTAGGAGTACCACACTGTTCACTCAAAACATTTCGGACCTTCACTCTCTTAATGCCTTGTCATAATCACGCGTCATTTGTGACGTGGAAATTGTGCTGAACTGACAATAATTGTCAACCATTTATATTAAAGTCCAGTTCAATAAGTATTGCAAATCAAGAATAGTAATTGAAAAACGGCTCACATAAAATATTTCGTTTTTGAATGACATTTAAATACAAATTTTAATTTAGACAGGACCTTATAGAACCAAGGTTGTGAAAAACTTAAAATCTAAGGATCCGTGTTAATTCTCCTATTTTGGTTTGGTTTTTAGAACCCTCTCGCTCAGTTTTTAACAATTACACTTGCACCAAAAACACTTTTTCTAATGGCCAATATAGGACTTTTATTTTTTAATACTACTTTTCCGTGTACTCACAGTTTCATAACATCTGCAAAGTTATAGTTAGATGTATTCAAGTCATCCAGCTTAGCGAGAATCACACGATAACCTTCGGGAGTGGCACCTGGCAGAGGTACAATAGAGCTGAAGAAATAATTAAAGGTATATATAAAATAATTGTCTTAAAAAAGGTTGTATTTCATAAACTAGTATCAGGATGCAACCCACACAGTTCTCATGGCGCGCCTGATCTCGGGTCGCTCGCAGTCGAGATTCACGAAGAACTCATCTAGGTGGGTGCGGGCCGTGAGGTTAGTGTCCAGGACCTGCTTGGCCACTTCCATGCTGGAGCGGCAGGCGTGGAAGAAGTGCAGGGCCTCGCCCTCCGAAAATTTATCCGAGATGTGCGGTTGGGCGTGGATCCACTCGATGAACTTTTGAACCTCCGATCGATTGATCTCCGGAAAACGGCCATACTGATCGTCCAAATCGGCCTCCTTCATTTCGTGGGGCTGTAATGGGATTTACTTTTGATTATTGCGCTACTTGGCCCGAAACGACTTTCAGTGCGGACTACTCTCGAATGAAATGGAAATGGAAGCTGTTTGCTTTTGCAAGCAAAACTGGTTGGCGTTGGCCGGCTGACTTGGCGAATTCGGCATGCAATTGCATGTGCTCGGGATCGGGATCGGTAATGGCGGTTTTTCGGCGGGAAACTGGAATGTGTTGGCTGGCCGAATCGCAGTCACTACTCCACCCCACTCATCGTCTCCGTCATTATTCAGGAAAAACTAGCAACTGTCTTGCGTTCGTTGTTCGCACGGAAAGAAACAACAGTGATTTTGAGCATTATACAAATAATAAATAATAATTTGTAGTTGAAAAGAGCCAAACCCCTTGTTTGTGGTTATATATTTCGATTTAACTTTTTTTCAAATCTATTAATAAAATGTTATATTAAATTTTAAATCCTCTGAACGTTGTTTTCTGTGCATTTCTCATCGGCTCATTTCACTTGTATCAGGCTGCTTGGAAGTTAATTTTTTTATCCGTCTGTAGCTGCTGTCTGTTATTATTGTATTTTTTCTCTTTCCTCAAAGTTGTATAACATGTGATCAAGTGATTGGGCGGTTCATCCATGACGGGGGGACTGCTATTATTATTTTGCGTGGCGTGTGCCCGGGAGATCGAGAGATTTTAGCTCCTTCATCAAAACTAAAATGTGACGTTCGACTGCAAAGGAAATTATATTTCTATATAAACGAAGATAAGAGATAGGGGAAGATTTTAATATTAAGATTTTAAGTATAATATGTCCAGTATTCAAAAATCAGTAAAAGGGTCATAAAGGGTTTACTATAAACTATTTTAAGGTTTGAGTAAATTAACATTTCTTCATTTCCTAATTAGACTTTCTAAATTAAGCAAAATAAGTTCCATGACAAATTAAAAAAGTCAATGAATCCCTCTACCAATTAGGATGCCACAATTTCTGCAGTGCGGCCTCATTTTAGCGGCACACACTTGACATTTTGCAAACAGCAGACACCAGCCAGCCACTCAGCTGGGCAGAAATCAAAGCCCGGCCAAGTGGCCAACCTGGCTAGGCAGCCTGTGGCTGAGGCTTTAACCAACACTGTAATCGATTGGAAATTTTGTAACAAGCTCATGAATTTTATTTTATTTAGCTTACATAATATTTACAACTAATACAGTATATAATGTTAAAAGATAATTTAAAAAATAATAATTTTTAACACATAAAAATTGGTGGCCAAAAAACAATAATTTTTTTTATATTAAGTTTTTTTCCATTTTTTGCTTTACTTTTGTGTGGCAGTTTGGTCATAATTAGACGCACAACTAAAAGCCAGACTGATTTGTGCAGATAACGAACGACAGTCAAAGCCAATTACTTCCTGAAAATTAAACAATTTTTTTATTCGACAATTGCAAAAAAACCCTTTAGTCTTTTAAGAAATTTACTGTTCGTTGTATTATGATTTTTTTCATACTTTTCGATAAAAGTATAATCAATAATCAACTCTTACTAACTTTGAGTCGTAAATCACAATTTATGCCAGTGTAGCTGTGGCATGCTCCGCTCATTTAAACAGCCGGTCCGCTTTGGCGAGACTGAAATTCCAAACGGATTAGAAGTCGCGCGCAAAGAGCAAACGGCAAACTGCAAATGTTTGCACTGCCAATGGTAACCTGTTTGAGAGCCCGAGGGGGATCTATGGGAGAAGGTGTGGACTACTGCTTTATTTTGGTCCGATGGGGGCAGGTGTCGTGGTGTCAGCCTCGAGTGTCAAACTAGGTGCCAATCCGAAATTAATTATACATCCCAAAGATCGAGCTTGAATCGAAGATCAAGACTTTTGGCAAGAGTTGTATTCTAGGATGTATATCCTTAAATCCAGATGATACTTTATCAGTTCAGGATTGATTAACTATAAATTCCAAAATAAAATCGTTTTCTAAAAAAAAAAAATTTGGGGGTGAAGCTCTCGAGTAAAAGTGTAACGTTTAGCTAAGTTAAAGGTATTTTAATAAATAGTATCCCCATATTATAAATATTAAAATTGTATTTATGTAATGGGTTTTGCCATGTCTTGGACAACTATCCTTCAACTGTAGCCAACAAAAGAGGGACTGACATCAATTTTCGCCGTGGTGACCCAAAAAATCAATCGCAGGAATGTCTGCTTGCTAATCGCGGATCAGGTTTTCGTCCACGACAATGATGATAATGATGATCACATGGTGGTGACAACATCGTTTGGCGACGTGCGTTCGTTTTATGTTGCCGTCATGCATTGAGTCCTACGAGTAAAGCGCCTTTTTGAGGTTAAATTCTCTTTTTCCTTTGAGCCCCGCCCAGTTTCTGCGACCGTTTCTGGTGCTTTTTTCCCCGACTGTGGTTGTTATTTGTTCCCCGTCCATTTTTCACGCATTTGACTGCATTACTTAACCTCAATTTGGCCGACGACGTGCATCAACTTGCCACACTCCCAATCGCGACTGCGAACCACTCCCCAACCCACTCGTAGCTCCCCCTTCAGACCAACGGTTGCGTTTCCGTTGGCCACCAGAGCTCCGTTGCACAAATGAAGTTGTCGCGCCGGCTTACACTGATTTGCATATTCCCCCTGCCAACTGCCACTCGGTTCCCCTTTCGGAGAGAGCGGATCCTGTCCAGCTCCGGTTGTCCATTTCAATTGTCGATCGATCGCTGAGCCCTGACTCATTTTTACACTGAGACGGTCCTCTATAATGTATGTTAGAGAGTGTTTCTAGATGTTTAAGGGAAATTCATTAATCAAATAATTGATTAATTTTAATTATAGCACTACTCTGTAAACTGCCTGTACAATTAATTGATTAACCGATTGGTACGTAAGGACAGTTTAACTAAAAACCTATGGGGGCTTTATGTTATAGACGTCCGATTTTGATGAAATTTAAACCGTAATTATGAAATATTTAACCATTACTATATGTCGACGAACTAAAAAAAAAAAAACAAAAACAGCAAACTTATAATTTTTTTTTCATTTATATTTGCGATTGTTACTATGGGAACTATATGAAATACTCGTCCGATTTTGATGAAATTTAAACCGTAATTTTGAAATAATTAACCAATACTATATATCGAAGAACTAAAAAAAAATTAAAAAACAGAGAATTTATAATTTTTTTTATTTATACTTTCGATTGTTCCTATGGGAGCTAGACGCTAAAGTCGTCCGATCCGGCTCGTTTCGACTTATATACTACCTGCAATAGAAAGACAACTTTTGGGAAAGTTTCATGCAGATAGCTTTAAAACTGAGAGACTAGTTTGCATAGAAACGGACGGACAGGCGGATAGACCGAAGGACAGACGGACATGGCTAGATCGACCCTCCTAGTTATGCTGATCAAGAATATATATACTTTTTTTCCCAGTGCATGGGCTGCCATGTCACCTCGTAGTCTCACATCTCCTCTAACAATTAACGAGGTTGGGAATTGGGATCAGGTTGGGGCACCCCCTATCCAACTCCAACCACGCGTTCTTCGCTCGCCGGCTGAAAAAGCTTCAATTGTTCTCCCAGCTAAAAACTCGTTTTGCGCATGCGCGCCTTATTTGTGTTTTTTTTCGTTTGTATTTTATTCGATGTTGTTCTTTTTTTGTGTTATTTTAGCGGTTTTTGTTTTGATTTCTGACTGCCGTTCGAATGTCTTTGTCAGCCTGTAGTTGTTGCTGTGGTTCATGCCGTAGTTGCTTTTTGTGGTGCTGTTGGCCACTTTTATTTACGGTGGCAAGTGTTGCTTGACAAATTGATTTTGATTTGTTTGGTCTTTTTCGTGTTTTAGTGTTTTAGTTTTTTTTTGTTTTATCTTTTATTGTTCGCTGCATATGCAAACCGGCAACGTGAAGTTTTTGTTTCGGGCTTGGAAACCTTGAATGCAAGTTTTCGCCCAGGGAAGTGGAAGTGACTGCTTGAAACCCACTAAATTGCTTTAGTTCCCAGCCGAACAGGAGTAGGAAGCAAAGGCAATATCCATCCAATGATCGCTTCCTTCGTAGCATTCAAATTGGAAATCAAACAGCAACAGTTGAATGCACCCGATTGCGAGCGATTCGCGGGGGTGGAGGGTGCGGCCTTGGGGTGGGAAATCGGGGGTAACTGTGCATTACACGCTCGTTGGCATCCTGTTTCATGCAACAGCAAGCAACAGGATGCAGCACAAACACTCCGAAATTGGAGGGTTGCTTTGCTAAGCACTTAGAGAAATAGTTTTTATTTTTTTCAAAACTCATTTTAAAACAAAAAAAAAAAATAATGATTGGGTATGTACGTATTTTGTCAACATACGGTAATATTCAACATAATACGACAACATTCATTTTCCATTTGTTTTTTTACGAAGCCAATAATAAACTTTTTGTCAGTGTGCTCTGCCCTAAATGGACCTCGAAAGCCAACCAAAGTCAGTCACAAGTGAGTTCCATACAAAGCCCGTCCATCCAACACCAGCGATCCATTCCAACCTTCCATCCAGACAGCGATCGCACAAAAGAACAGGCAACACAATGCATTGAAGCCCTCTACAAAACAATTTATATATATAAGGAGTAGGGACACCAAACCCCGACGCCCGAAACACAAAGGATGATCAGTCGTGCGTCTCAAAATTCCCTAAGCCTTAAAAAACAAATTCTCGTACTCATCAGCGGCCGAACACCTGATGATGACTCTGACTCCGAACGCGACTTTGACTGCGACTGCGACACCTGAACGTTGAAAAATGATAATTAGATGGTCTAGCAACCCTCCGCGAGACAGACGTTACAATCGCCCAGGTAAACAAGGTAATGGTGGTGGAATCTCAGTGCATCCTCGGCTGGTTTTTCTTCCTTTTTGTGTTTGCCTAGTGTAAAGTGATCGTTTGGCTACGTAAATGTTGCCATCCAGGGGCTGTTTGGAAAAACGGGTAAAAGCAACCTGCTAGGATATTC